TTTCGACGAAACAAAATGGGACAGTGCTTCAAAACAAAACAATGAAACAAAACACTGTCCCTTGGAAATGGTGAAACAGACATCCCAACTAAATGACTGTGTTTTGCAGAGCCCTAACTGATCCTGCATCAAGCTCTATAGAGGAAGACTGTAATGAGACTTCCCCACCCGCCCCATTGCCATTTGTGAGATTCAGTGCAGCCCCAGGAGTCTACCTGGATTGAACTTGTCCCTTCTAAAAGGCAGTCAGTTTTAAACAGATAATTTCATACAGTGGTGTGAAGTGAAGGAGAATAAGGTATTAAAAAAATGATTGTTCAGCTGTGGGCCCATTTTAAGTCAGGGATTTTCATTTATTTGTTTATTAAATCTCACTAATCCATCATCAGCCATCTTCATAGACCTTACTAGTCCTGTGACAGTTGCAACAGAAGTAGGTCTTAGATAAGGATGTGCAGGAAAAAGACTTATAGAACAGTTCAGATGTTTCATTCATAATGGGTGATATGAAAAAATGCTTGAGGAGGCTTGTATATGAATCAGACAAACTAAATATCCATGTTTGTTATGGTGGAGAGAAGGAAACCATATCGACTGAGTAAAATACAAGATAAACAAGGAAGGGGCTGAATAGTGAAGAGCTGTAAAGGTGAAACCACACAGCTCAGACCTGATGCAGGGACAAGGAAACTAATGAAGGAGTCTGTGGGATTGACATTTAGAATCAACTGGCTGGAGTGATGTGGGTGCTATTTCCTGGATTTTAGATGAACCGGTAGACAAGAGAAAATAAGAGGCAAAAGAAAGTCTACAGCCAGCTTTTTACTGCCTATGCACCAAAGCACAACAATAAACACTTATCCTGGTGTTTATCTGGGTACTTGCAACAGTGCAATATAGCATTTAACCTATATCAGCTAGAAAGACTCAAGGGTGCGGCGGAGTCATCTTGAAACTATTGAGTAAGCTAATAACTTTCCCTTCAATCTATACCTTGTATTTGTACATGGTTTATTTTAATAAACAATCTCTAGCTGGGTTTATTCGTACCTTTTATTTTACTGAGACATTAGGAACTACACTGAACAACTTTTCTGATGGACTTGGAAGGTGTCAGTTAGATGAGATTCATGTCCTTATGAATATTACAGTTATGGATGGGGTAACTTCTTATCTGTTCCTTTCACCACTTTGGAATGTTGTATGCCACAGATTTCTTTTTACATTATGGGTTTCACTTTTGCAACTTAGCTAAGAAGCTTTACACAACTATATTTAATTGCCAGTCACTACTACTGACATTTTTGTGCTAAGACTAGGATATCTTGGATTATTTTTCTTAATACTTTCCTTTATATGGTCTCCTTTCTGACCTTTGTTCTGTTTAATTTCATTGCTGACTTAGTTGGACATGTTGATTTGTTTTGGGGTTTTTTGTTGGTGTTTTTTACTTTGCTGACCAGGGAAGCTGAACCCTGCAAACTGTTCATTCTGTGGTCACTCAGAAACAGGCCTTGGGGCATTCTGCTTTAGCCACACTTCTACAGTCTGGCCTAGGTCCCTTCAGAATGGCCACAATGTCAAGGCAGCAAAGATGTGGAAGGGATTGCTATGATGCAGACAGGCATCAAGAAGAAGTGCAGTTGTGTAGACATTATTCAAAGGTCTGGGTCTTAAAAGATGTTATATGAGAATGATGATAAGCTGTCGATATGGATTGCATGTGGATGGGGCAAGAGAAAGGAAACATTAAAAGATGATGCCTGGTACCTGGATGATAAGGAGGCTAGTGGTGATGCCCCCTGCTAGAGAAAGGAGGAAATGAAATTGTTGGGAAAGTAAATACAAGTTTTAGGTTAAGTCATGTTTCATTTAATTTGGAGATGAATTGTCCAGGAGGAGGTCATGACAGGAAAATAACTCTGCTTGATCTGCTTAAAGTTTTTATGGGGGAGGGGGTGGGATAGGCAGTTAGAAATAAAACTTTTGGCTGTGAACAGATAATTTGTTATGGAAATAAATACAGTGAGTGCAGCATTACTATACCAACTTTCTACAAAATAATTTTATAAGGAAAATGGTTCAAACAGCTGCTCCTATACTCAAGTAAAGACTTGGTCACTGGAGGCCAGATCCTATTCCACTTATTAGGTGAGTAAGTAGACTTGAGTGTCTAAGTACAATTCTTTTCCACTCTGCAGTAGGTGGATTAGTTCCCATTCTTGCTACTCCTCTTCCTTACTACTTTTTTGTGACACAATCTTAAAATGACAGCATGTTACCAAAATGAATTTAATGGATTTTCAGGACTTGGACAGGGTACAACAGAATCATATTAAGATGCCTAAGTTAACTTGGAAACTTAATGGCCACATCTACACATTAATGTGCCACAGTAAGTACGGTAATTAGTTCAGTAATTATGGTGCATTAAGTTTAGTACCTCTAATAACAGGTACTAACTTAATGTGCCATAAGCAGTGCTACTGCACATTAGCACAGATTAATGCTTTGTATGTGACGCTTAATGCCCATTGGATTGATCTACTATGCATTAGCACAGTTTATGCCAGCCATGCTAATGCACAGTAGAATTAGTCCAATAGGAATTATGCATCTTGTGTAGACGTGCCCCTTAAGTAACATCTACTAGAATTTGTCCCTAGATATTAGCACGTGGTATGCTATTCAAGTATGCATAAATGCAAGATGTATGGGGCATGAAAGAGTACAAGTAAACTGTCAGAATTCTGTCTTGATAGAATTAATCCAGACAGAATAAAGCAGAACAAAGACTTAGAAAAGTAGGGCTGGAAGGGACCTCAGGGGGTCATACTACAGGTTCACTTACTACTTCTTATTCAAGTTCTGCTACCTCAACTGTGAACTGCCAGTAGCAACAACATCACAATTTCTTTATTTAATTTTATTTTTATACCTATTTGTTAGTGCCCTTATTAGTCACTATTACAAATTCCCTTTTCCTTGCTAATACAGTTAAATTGCACCTCAAGACTTCTAATCCATATAAAATCCAAATGCCCAAAGCAGTCTGATGTTTCTGTTTGAAGATGAGAAGGAAGGATAATAGTCTCCAATATTAAACTCTTTGATTCAAAATGATGTGAAATATACAGGTCTTACTGATCTGTATTGTTTTTGCCTTTGTTCTCAACTCCTAGTGAGAGCAGTTAAAAAAAACAAAAACAACACAACTCTTAAACTGCAACAGAAAAATAAACACATTTCTTTCCAACTGGTATCTGGTTTATTCGCATAAGTTAGGCACTGCTTTTTGAAAATCTAACTCTTAATTGAAGGGTTTGATTTTAATACCATTTGTGCTAAAGCCTAAATTAAAAAAAAATGTTCTAGTATTTTCTAAAAGAACATCAGTTTAAAGAAAATATAGACCCGATTTCAGTCTGGCTTCCCTCTAGTAGCAGGGCACTTGATGACGAAATGTAGAAAAGAATGGCATACAATTATGCATTTTCTCAGAAGAGTTCCAGCCACCTGTTAAACTCTTCCAAGACTCATCGGGTGGAATTAAACTGAACAGTAATTAAATAGAAGTCTAGTCCTGCAGCAATATACCAGTATTGGAAAGCTATGCTATTTAATGTTTCTGTTGAGCATTATTAGCTATCTGAAATAAAGATGTATTTTAACCTTTTTCTGTATTCATTCCAGTAATATTTGAGCATGTTGGGGGGTAGGGGCGGGAGCAGATTTAAAAAACCCATAGACATTTTCCCATCTGTTGACAGTGGGAGTATATATCATGGAACATCTACATCAGAGAAATAGTTTTTACATTTTTGTATATAAAGCCTAATCTGCCCATCAGATCATTTTCATGATTGTGGCTCAGATGCTGAGAGAGTGACTTCCCACATGACTCCTCCGTTTGTGGTGGACTATTCTGCTGTGTCAGTGGAATATGATTATCATTATTTATACTCGTCCGTATTAGTATATGTGGTATGGAAGCACCTGAGATAGCGATCTCCAACTGAGGCTGTCTTTCAGTAACTTGCAACAGTTGTACGAAGAGAAAGTTGAGACAGAATTGTTGAACTAGTTTGTTCCTGGTTTTGCCACTCACTGGTCTTTCCAAAATGTACTAGTAGGCATATCCCTTCACCAGCCTGACCCTATGACTTGGGGATATTGTACATTCCGTATTCTTTGCAGGGTTGGATTCCTTACCAGTGCTGCCTCTCACCCCAAGGTGATGGTTTGTGAACTGAAGGTATACAGCATAGCAGCAACAGATATGATATGACTGCTAATGTGCTTCAGCTGAGTGGGGTACAGTGCCCTTTGAATTAAAAGCTGCAGCAAACAGTAGCACACCTCATCCTTCACTTGGCAGTCTGCTGTGAATTAACTGGGTTCTGGATCATGCAGATGTGGAAATTCTGGGACCTGCTTATTTATTTCCTTTTGTAGTGTACTTTGAGATAGGGAATGAAAGGTACCAGATTGCTTTGAAAATGCACAATTTTTTTAATTAATTGTTTGTTTTAAAGGCAGTCTGAGTTTTAAACTTAAATTAAAAAGTAAATAGCTTTTATTCATCGCTCTTTGTCGCTTCCCCCCCCCCCTTAAATTGATTCATAGCCAGAGTGCTATGAAATCCTTTCAAGGGTGTCATGGGGTGCTGCACAATGTTAGTACTGCTAGGCCTTCAAATATAATTCACAAGATAAAGCCAGAGATTTCCAATAGGAATCTATAGTGTTAAAATCATTCTGACCTGCTGTGGCTTCTCTGAGTTCTTTGCAGTAGAATTGCTCGAATATTTTTCTGTAGTCAAAAAAGCAAGTGAAAAGTTAGAGTTGGCACTTTCCAAAGGGTGCCTTGAGTCTAAAACAGGTTGAGAACTACTGTTCTAACAGAAGGATGCTGTCAAGAAGCCTGTTATAATTCTTTGTGAACTGCTTGAGATTTTTCATTGTCTTTGACTAACTTGCATTTAAATCTTTTTTCTTTAGGTCCTAATGTCCCTGCATGAAATGTTTCCAGCGGTACACGCAGCAGAAATGGCTGTCCAGAGAAATCCCCGTTCTTGGGAGGCATGGCAGACGTTGGGGCGTGCTCAGCTTGGATTAGGGGAAATAGTATTGGTAAGAAAACAGCCCTTATCTGAGAACTGAAACAGCAAATCATATATTCAGAATCCTGGATAGCAGAATGAAAGGATCAACTTGTCAGAGTAATTTAATTTCCTCATAAAACCAAAATATAAATAAGGGATACAATTATTGTTCTTTCTCTCCCATAATCTCTTTCACTTTTTTAATAAGTTCTTTTGTGGTTTTGTTGTTGGGTTGTTGAAGACCTGGCTAGGTCAAAGCCAGCTGTGTCTTGCTCTTGTTTATGTAAGGGCTTTGTCTGTTAGCATAATTTGCACTGATGTAAGTGCATAAATGTAGACTTGTAGCTGAATGTGGTACAGCTGTGGAGCTTATCATGGTCTGGAGCTGGAGTGAGTTGTACCTGTTCATGGTTTACTTTAGTACAGTTTGTATACACTAGTTATTAGTACTCCTGCAGCTCCATCAATGGCTAATACAGCAGCATAAATGAGGCTATTTTCATCTCTGCAAGAAGTGCATATATTCAGCAAATTTGTATAAAAGCAAGGTTGAGATGTCCTCTCCATTAGAAGGTATAATTTGGGGGAGGGAACAGGGGAACTAGGTATTGTAGCTCTCTATTATACTGACTTTGACAATGGTAAGTACATTTTATATTGAGTTTGAGATGTATGTATGTATGTGTGCCCAGGAATAAGTATAATAGATGTTTTGTTTTGTTTTGTTTTGTTTTGTTTTAATTTTATATATATAATGTGTGTGTGTATTGATTGTTTTCTTAACTGCTAATTGTTTTATTTTATGCACTTTTAAGCCTGAGAAATGAGTAGAATTACACTCTGTACTTTTACTCAACTGCACCCAGACACACCTTTATTTGTTAGCAGCTCAGAAGTAGGTCTCAGGAAAGCATTTGAAGGAAAGATTGGTGATGATCTAATCTGGTTCAGGGAGGCATTCCATGCATAACAGTTATCATGGAAATAGTAAATAAATGAGCAGACAAAGTCCATTGGAGCAAAGTGCAGAATTTCCGAGAGCTGTGCATCAGGATAAAATTATAAAGGTAAAACTATCCCAAGGAAAAATTCTTATCATTCAGTAGACTAAATGAGCTGGGAGTACATGTGAAACAGTAGGAGTGATTGATAAAACCGATCTCAAATAGCATTCAAATTGTCTATCCTACAATGAAAAACGATGTGGGATACCCAGTGTTTACAATATCAGTGCCATGTATATTTGTATATCTTTGTACATGGTTTTCTAGCAGACGACTACTAAGTAGAACTACTGATGAAAAACAAAATTAATAGAAACAAAAGACCATGAGTAAAGCAATTGATAAAATAAATAAGTTAACATTATTCTGACATTTTCTAATATGAGTAATTATACAACTGATAAATATCACAACAGAACAGTTAGAGGAATTTCGCCATGCTCTTGGAAAAACAAAAGCTAGAACGATTGGGTTGATATTTCTCAAGCCATTCTTAAGAAATCTTTATCAACTTCTTGAGGTTTATTGGATCATTTGAGGACGGGTCCTTCTGTAAACTCAAATCAAAGCCTATGCTGTATTTGAAAATAAATTGTATAAATAATAAATGGTTAAAGATCAAAAAGTTATTTTAAAGAGATTTTAAATGAAATATCAAAAGATGAAATTAAGACAGCAGAAAACAGTACACTTCACTCCCAACTTATTTAAAAGCCATAAGGCTGCTGTGCTAAGATGTGGCCAGCAATAACATCTTTGAGTTTTCTGGTGCTTATAATTCTTTATTTACATTTTCTAGTTAATCAATATGCAGTTTTCAATAGACTGAGAAGTTCTAACTTGCAGATAGAATTGGGGCTTTGTGTAAATGTCAGATAGACTCTACTTTTTATCTTTTAAATTTAGGGGTTGACTAAAGAAGGCTGAAAGGTTGATTAGTAGGGCCGTGTGAAACTTTGGTGGCTGTTTGATTTCAGAGGTGTTTCAGCACCCGAAACACCGAATCCGAAACGAAACGGAAGGCTCCAAAACGAAATGAAACCATCCGAAACATTTTGGAGTCTTGGAGCTGGGCTTGCAGGGAAATAGAAACTAAGAGGAGGAAGGGGGAAGAGGGGCGGAAGAACTGCTCTGATATTGACATCTGTAGCTGGCCAATGTCTATGATCTGTACCCGAGGCCCCTTCCAATCCCAGTGCTCTGGGGGAGGGACAGCGGCCTGCTGTCATCCCGCACATAGATCTAGGGGTCTGTGCCACCCAGGAGGAGTCTGGCACAGCCCTGCAGCCTGCCTGGGGGGCACAGGCCCACAGGTCTGCATGCTGGATGACAGGATGCTGCCGCTGCTGGCTGGAGCCGGTGTCAGCATGAGTCTTCCTGGTGCTCAGTGTGGGCTGCACCAAGTGCCGGTCTCAGCCGGCAGCTGCAGCCAGGTGTCATCCCACATGCAGATCTGGGGGGCCATGCCTCCCAGGAGGAGTCTGGCACAGCCTTCCTGGGGGGCGCAGGTCCCCAGATGTGCTTGTGGGATGACAGCATGCTGCTGCTGCAGGCTGAGGCCGGGGCCAGCACCAGCACCAATCTCCCCAGCGCTCGGTGCAGGCTGTACTGAGCACTGGTCCCAGCCGGCAGCAGCAGCCTGCTGTCATCCTGCACACAGATCTGGGTGCACTCTTGGTGTGCACTCTTGGTGTGCACTCTTGGTGTGCACTCTTACCTTGACAGGTGGAATATTGATGCAAAGTATTTGTTAAGGAGCTCAGTTTTCTCTTGGGCATCGGTTATCAGCTGTCCCATTTTGTTCAGCAGGGGTCCTACATTTCCCTTATTTTTTCCTCCAACTTTCTACATATCTAAAGAGGGACTTTTTATTGACAAAGCCTACCACCATCTTGCTTCTTAAACTTTATCCATCAGTGTTAATTATTTTGCCCTCCATTTGGGTTGAACTCTGTGTGCCTGCCAGGCCTTGAACATCCGATCACATGCTGCTCGGGCCCGGATGTTCGGTGATGTTCATCTATCCATCCCCGATGTTCCACCAAGTGGGTGTCTCCCTCCAGTGTAGTCTTTACCCAATCTCACCTGCCACGACTTTGGATCTTATTCCAGTGGTGGATATCCAACCACCAGGGTTCTGTCAACTACAGGACGGCTGTCTGATGACTTTCTGTGAGGCTCCACCTCCCCTGTACCTTGCCCTTATACCCAGCCTTGACGGGTCACTGCTATCCTCCCGGCCAGGTTCCCTACCGTTGAGACTCTGGTTCCTTTTCCGGCAGGGGTGGTCCCTGCTTACTGCCTGAGTATCCTGCAGTAACCTAACCGGTCTACGAGGCCACCGCTTTTCCCAAAAGCTAGCAACCCACCCAGAGGCTTCAATAACCATCAGGCTCCCCAAGCTCTGACTCTCAGCCCCTCCTAAAGTGGGAAACACAAAATACAAACAAAAACAAAACTACGGATACAGTTTGAGGGACCCAACTGTTCCCTATTTCTGGCTCCTTTGGCCTGGCCACTAACAACCCGCTCTTGACACTGTGGGCCTCTGTCAGGCCCTGTATGTGGTCAGTGTATTGTGTGGACTCCACCACCATTCTTCTCCTTTGTCACCCTGCCTTGGGCTTCTTCGGGCCCCCTGCGGTCCTCCACTGGGTGTCTGTCCTCCCGTCACCCGCTCTAACGATGCCATGCCACTGAGGGCCGTACTTTGCAGCCTCTCACACTGCCCTTGCCTCCCATCTCTCGCCTGGTGTGCCTCTTCAGCTTCCCCAGTGCCCTCAACAGTCCTGCCTGGTTTGATACTGTAGATTGCATCAGCCTCTTCAGTCCCTCTGCTGCAGCAACTGGTGTCAGGGTCTCTCTCTGCCCCTCTGTACTTTTCCCTGGGTTCCCGGTCCTGAGGAGCTGCCTCTGGCACTTAACTCTTCTAGCTGCAGCAAGCAGTCTCTGGCTTGCAGCGTGCTCTGACAAGCTCTTCGCGGGGGGGGAAGCAGCTTCCGGCTCCTTTCACTCCCGCAGGAGCTGCGGAGCAACACCTCCTGCTGGTGCTCCTGCCGCCGTTGATCCCCCCACTTCCTTGCCAGCGGCTCCTTTTATCCCAGCCGGCTGGCTCCTGCAGTTGACGTCATCAGCCGGCTGCAATTGTATAAAAACGCGGCTAACAAGCCACGTGGGTCCCATCTCCAGCTCCTTCTTTGCCACAGATCCTCCTGCAGGTAAGAAGTTTTCCTTTTCTTTTACTTTTGTTTTCGCCTAAGGGTTCCTGCCCCCGGGGCTCTTTGGGGTCTTCCCCTCTGTTCCTTCCTGTGACACACTGCCATTATGAACGTCCTAAACTCTAGACATCCTTGCTGCGTACTTCAGGGAATATGTCAAAAGATGTGCATTAGTCATGAACTTTTTTAGGTCTGTAAGAAAATTATCGAAATATAGTGAGCTTTAGATGGTCCTTGTTACCAATATATACATGCGAAACACAGAATTTAAGTCTGGTCTGAACTTTTACAATGCCTAATGGAAAAAACTGTATCAAGACCAGGGTTTCACATCAGGGCCAGCTGCAGTATATTGCTCTAACTAATCATGGATCCTAAAAGGATTCCAGATACAGTAACCTAATTTGAGTAAATAGAAATGCAAAGATGTAATAATAGGAGGAAATGACAAAATAGTAAGTGTCCAACTATAATCTTTGTGGAACATCAGAATGTTTAATTTTTCCACTCTAAAGCAGCAGAGATCAAGCAGGTACCTAGAGAAGCTGAGGATCTCTATCCCTGGATATTTTCAAGAGCTGGCTGAACAAACACTTGGCTGGAATGGTTTAGTCAAGGATGAACCTATCTTGAGCAGGGGGCTGGATTAGCTAACCTTGTGAGGTCCCTTCCAACACTACTTCCTTATGATCCTGTTATCTCTGATGTTATCAGCCATGCTGCTGCCACCATGATGGAATGAAGCATATCTCAGAACTGGTTTTGATAGTGCTGTACGGAATTATAACATTATATTTAATCACACT